GAATGGGAAAAGTAATAAAAATGAATTAATGGTAATAATCTGTGTTGCTGGAAGGTTTTCTCCACAGCGCCTATAGAGAACAGAAGCATCCGTAAATGAAAACCCATACGATCAGATCTTCTTCAAACAGGTCACTAATTAACTTCTATAATTAACACCTTACTACAGTAGGGGGAGCCAGGTAATTATCAGATATGTTCTGAAGGTGAGTCACCTCATTTTAAGTAGCCATCATCCTAGAAATACAATTGGAGAGTAACAACTTCTGCATGTTTCAAGGAGTCATAAACCTCTTCAACAGTTCCCGCTACAGCTGCATGAAGCACCTTTTCCTGTCTATATCAGCAAAGAGATTCTCACATAAAACCTTTACCATTTTGACCATAGACTCAATGAACAGCCACTTTTATTTTTTAAAAGGCACTCATATTTCTTGATGCAAGAGATTTAAACTATTTGAACATTTCTTGTGCAATTAGAATTTAGCCTTTTTAGTTTTTGAAATTGTCTTTTTATATATTTCTATTCCCTGACCTACTCAACTAGCATAGTATTTATCCCTTATAACTGGCTATTTCACACTCAAAGAAGATTTGTGTGGGCTGAGCAGAGTGATCAAAGAGAAATTAGAAGGAAAAGAAACCATCCGAGTTCATGTTCTGCAATGTATAGATTCACTAAAGACATGGAACTTTCTCTTGATATTTGCCTACTATTAAGATAGAATGTCTTATTTCTAATCTATCTTGTGAACTGTATTTTATGTATCTATTTATCAGTATATCTGAAGAGGAAAAAATACATACACACATATTAACACATTCATGATCTTATCTGTTCAAGGTAATTGAATTTCCTAAGGTACTATTATAAGAATAAATATATTAGCTATCAATAAAAAAAAAAATCTTTGGGGCCAGCTGGGTGGCATAGTGGTTAAGTGTGTATGCTCCACTTTGGCAGCTAGGGGTTCACAGGTTCAGATCCCCGGCATGGAGGTACACAGCGCTCACCAAGCCATGCTGTGGCAGCATCCCATGTACAAAATAGAGGAACATTGGCACAGAAGTAGCTCGGGGACAATTTTCCTCAAGCAAAAAGAGGAAGATCGGCAACAGACGTTAGCTCCGGGCCAATCTTCCTTACCAAAAACACCCCAACAAAACAAACAAACAAAAACTTCACCTAGTATGGCACTGTGTTAAGCATTTCACCTACATTTACTCGAATCCTTACAAAAATTTTGTCATCCTTCCCTGCCTCATATTTACACATTAGGTTTGAGGCTCAGTAAATATTCATATATCCAAACTAGTCAAAATTCTGACCCATTTTGATAAACTTCAAAATACCACTAGAATTACTCCACATTGCTTTATAAATTACTGGTGTTTGTTTGCCAATGATGTGATGGACATTTTTCCTTAGATACACACATATGAGCATGTGAGTGCACTATTATAAAAAAAACAAATAAACTGCACAGATAGATTCTGTTATTGGCTACACTAGGAGTGGGAAAACCGTAGCCCATAGGCCAAATTCAACTAGCCACCTGTTTTTGCAAGTAAAATTTTATTGGACAACAATCATGCCCAATTGTTTACATATTGGCTATGGCTGCATTCACATTGCAACAGCAGAACTGTGACAGAGACCATAAAGACCATAAGCCTAAAATTTTACTCTATTGCTTTGCAGAAGATGTTTGCCAACCCTTGGACTAGACCATTACTTGGTAACTGTATTGATGTAAGATGTTGTCATAGCAATGTATATGCATGTCACTAACAGTAAGTCACTGGAACCCCAAAAGAGCATTAAATTACTTTCTTTCCATTAGGTGAAATTCTTCCTTAGTACCTAAATCATAACTATTCAGAGTTACTCTTAAAACAGAAAATGGCAACAATTGTATTTTCTTAGAGTTTCATCTTTTGCAGATGAAACTGCAAAAGATGAAACTCTTATGTTTCAGTTGAACCCAAATCTGACAGTAACACTGTGGATCTCTTTGTCTTATTACAAACCATCTTTGAGTAGTGCCTCATTTATACAACATATTCACTTTATTAAAAAATTTTTTCAGTTCTCTGACATGTTTTTTTAGATCTCCTTCTTTTCACATTTTTATCCCCTTATCATTTTGGACCTTAAATATTATGGTAGTCTCATACTAGTACTTCTTTTCTCCCTTTCCTCAAAAGTGCAGTTTTAATTTCTGCATTCTCTACCACGAATAGCATCATCATCATCATAAAGGCAACAACAACAACAAGAATAAATACATAGCTCTTACCATCTGCCCGTTGCTGCTTATATACATCAACTTATTTGATATTAACAACTCCAGGAATTTTTATTGTCATAATACAGATGAGGAAACTGAGACAAAGAGGGGTTAAATATCTTGCACCAGAGTAAGTGTCTGAGGTAATATTAGAATCGATATCTTTCTCAACAATAATCCTTATGTTTTTTGCTTTTAAATGTGTCATCTCTTTATTGAGACCTCTTGGATTGATTGCCTGATCTTTGAATGCCTATTTTGTTTTAGGTTATAGGAGTGTCCCAGCCCCCCAAAGCATCCTCCGAGGCATGATCCTCAGTCTCAGGACCTTCATCCATTGTGGTCCATGACGGCAGTGGGAATTCCTGATGGGAAGACTTCACAAAGCCTATAGGAGGCCAAGTGTTCAGAGGGCCTCCTTCCTCCCTTGCGGGCTTTGGGCTGAGTGTTGGTTCTTACTGCTTATCTCATTTTCAAAAGGAAATGTACCTAATCTTTAACACTTTTTGCCAGTTGAATCCTAGCTGCAACTCCAACCTTATTCTTCATTTCTTGTGAACCGCACCTTGTTCATATCAATGCTTAGCATGCTTCCTCAACTACGGTTTTCTAAATAGTGATTTTGTGGCTTTGCTCATTTGATTTCCTTTGTCTACGTTGTTTTGCTTTTATTTCTTACTTTTTTTTATACAATAACTAGCTTTACAATTCAGCAAAGGGAAAGGCAGTAGAAAGGTTGAAAGTGCCTGCTCAGCAGTCACAAGGTCAGGGTGTCCATCCCACTTAGCACCTGGTGACCTGGTGACTCAAGGTAAGAAATTTGTAATCTCTGAGCCTTTATTTCTTTTCCTGGAAAACGGATCATAACGCAGCTACCTACCATAAAATGCTATTATGGACTCTTAATGAGGTAATCCATGTAAAATGCTTAGGATATGGCCTGGCACATAGTCAGCACTCAATTTCGGTATGAATGAACACCATCTTCTGAATAAACACAAGACAACCCTCTAGGATAAAGGATGGCAAACTTTTTCTGTAAAGAGCCAGATAGTAAACATATTAGTTTTTTTGAGCCAAGAGGCAAACTGGAGGATATTATGTAGACATGTATATAACATTTAAAAATTTAAATCATTCTTAACTCATGAGCCATACAAAAATAAATGGTGGGCTAGATTCAGCCCACAGGCTATAATTTGCCAAACTCTGCTCAAGGAGATAAATAGTAAATAGAGCTAACAAAAATTATACCCTTAATTAGGATTAATTATTATTTTTGTTATTTGTAATTTTTTTTTGTCTTTCCAACTAGCTTATAAACTCCTTGGCTCATAATTCTTATTTTGCCAAAGTTATTTTTCTGCTATTTTCATTTTTCTTTATCTCTCCAAAAAGTGTTCTGCAGTATAGAGTGATTATACAGTGTATATGTATGTGTATGTGTAGATAGATAGCCATGTATATATACACACACATAGACATATATGTACATGCATTATAGAGAGTAATTGATGCATAGAAAGACATAGAATGATATATAGTGATGTATATGGGGGAGAGAGAGCGCATTTTGTATATTTTAAGCATCAAAACATTTATTATAATAAATAATGTTTCCTCAAATTACCAGATCCATCCCTCAGTTCTATAGCTTACATTCTCCCATTTGTGTTTATATTACTGGAGGCCCTTGCTATTTATTTTTTTAATGTGATTTGCTGTGATCAGAGTTCAAACCTGCATTTACAATCACCATTGGTCATAGGATTTGATTGTTCAAAAAATTAAATCACAATTACCTCGGGGGAAAGTAGCTGATGAAAATACTGGGAACTAAGGTCTGGTAATTCCATTTATTCCATATGCTTCCAGGAATCCCTTTTGCGTCATGCTCTGAGCAATTTTGTGAGGTTGTGATAAAACATTCTCAGGCATGTTTTAAGAGGTGTTTGGCTGCCCTTCATTTGGGTATGAAGCGGCTCTTCTTTCCTGCTTTTTCATATTTTATATTTCTCATTAGTGAATCAATAGTCTCCAATGTTGAGTGGTAAATAAATTTAATTATATTTATACATAAGTGCAATGTCCATAGTCACCTCTGTTTTGGAAAAGGTTGTGTGGAGATTCAGATTTAAAAGTAAATGCCTTTTGAGGGACATTCTGTTGGAGGCCATCTGTGTGCTGGCTCAGGTCACAGGGCAGCAGAACTTCTGTAAACTAAGTGGAGAATGCTGTAAAGTCCATATTAGTAAGAAAATGGCCCGGGTCTTAGACTATGGAGCTGAAACGAAGGTTTGCAAATCAAGTGTATTTCTTCCTGGAAGAAGGGAAAGCACTGCAAATATTTTTTCTTGCCTTTGTTCCCTTTCTCTTCAGTGGAGAATTAGAAAGACCATATAATGCTTAGAGTGTTGAGCCCTGAAACGGAGACTTTGGATACATTACTATGTAATTACCATGATTAGATTTCTTGGTATATAGATAGAGAAACAGTCTCTCAGAGTGAAACTAACATAGCTACTAAGTGGCAAATCTATGAATTCTAACCCACATGTATTTGATTCCAATATTGATGCAAATATGTAAATCCAACTATACTCTTCAAGCTTAATGCAATAATATGTATTATTATTTTTAATTAATATTTATTCTATTATTATCCTTGTTGATTCCACTAAATAAGTACTTTACCTTCTGGAATTACCTGTGGTTTGGTAGGTTGTAAAATTTTATTTATACAAGCCATGAGAGAGAAACATCTATTTTCTGAAATGAGATATGTTCTTTCACTGTTTTTTCAATTGGTCCCCATCGTTTAAAGTTATATTGGTCTATCCTGGCAATATTCTTGATATCATGGATCAATCCATCTGGGATACTAGCTTGATCCTGAAGTATTCTTCTTGGTTTTGCACTGGCTTCTGTTTTTCACTCTACATGCTCTCCCCTTCTGGCTCCATCTGGTTCCGTGGCCTCACCCAGACGTGCTAGATATTTCCAATGAAGCAAAACACAGCCCCCAAAGTCAACTTCCCCAAATGAGACATCCGAATTCTGCTTCAAAAGATGCTCTTCATCCAGAGGAGCCATCTCAGTAGTTCCTGTAGTGGGAAAGGAAGGATATGATAACATCCTGATCTTGACTTCATTTAAAATTTTGGTATTTTGTTCATCATGAATTTTTTACATTAGTTTTGAATTTTTAATATATTGCATTAAATATTATTTATCTTGATTATTGAGTTTTTTGGCATCCCCTTAAATTTTGTGCTAGTGGTGAGTGCCCCATCTGCTTTACCCTAGTCCCTTTCCTGTTGGGATCAAATAGTCAACAAGTCTATAGCCAGTGTGACTGGGCTTAAGTTCTTTGTCCAGCATTTCCTGGCCAAGTTTCCCTGAACAAGTTATTTAACATCTCAGCATCACTTTGCTCACTTATAAATTGAAGATAATAATAACAACTTAGCCAATATGGATGTTGTGAGTTTTAAAGAAATAATGTATAAAAAGTATTTAGAATAATTTCTAGCTAATTTTAAGTACTATTAAGGTACTCACCATTATCAATAAATTTGAAATCTTGCTGCTAAAAAGTTTAAAAATAGAAATCCATCTTCATATGTAATTTATTTACCAATTCAGTGTCTCTCAGGGTGAGGCCAAAAATCACTATTTAAAGAAATAAAACAAGATAAAATATCTCCTCATGTCATTTTAATGATCAGCTTCACTTGGAAACTCCTGAAGGACGATGAGATTCCTCAATTCCTCTTGAGTTTATCCACTTCTCACTCTCTGCAATGTTCTAGCCTGGCTTCAGATCTTAATTGTTTCATGTCCAGACTCGTTCAAGAATGGTCCATATGGTTTCCTTACCTCTAAACTTACAGCACTGCAGGCAATAGGAGAACAAGATAATTATTTGAAAACACGTCTGATAATATTATCACCTTTCTTGAAACCTTGAGAGTCAAAGCTAGAGTAAGCCAGAAACTTGGAACTCTTTAGGGAGCACTTATACTCTTTAATGATGTGGACCATGTCAAACATCTCCAGATTCAGGGGCTGGCCCAGTGGCGGAGTGGTTAAGTTGACATGCTCTGCTTCAGCGGCTGGGGGTTCGCAGGTTCAGATCTCGTGTGCAGACCCAGCACCACTCATCAAACCACACTGTGGCAGCATCCCACATAAAATAGAGGAAGATTGGGACAGATATTAGCCCAGCAGCAGCCTTCCTCAAGGAAAAAGAGGAAGATTGGCAACAGATGTTAGTTAAGGGCCAATCTTCCTCACCTACACACACACACAAAATCTCCAGATTCATCTATACATGTAGTTTTAGATAATGATTTGGAACACCATTTCTCAATGTAGTGTTAATGTTTCTGTGCAATTGTAACATTATTCTTTCTGCTTAAACCCTCACCCCAACCTGTCTCTGCTACTTCCTCATTTAATATGTTCCCATCCTTCAAAACTTAGTTCCAATGTAGTCACATCAGAGATACTTTCCTTAACCATGGCCTCTGGAACAGGTGCATTTCATCTATGGCAATCATGCTTTGGTAGAGTCTGCACTGGATGTTCCAAGGAGCACACAGGAATATGCCCCAGCCAATTGACTGTCAATTCTATACTGTCAACTGTCAACTGTCAACTGTCCTGAAATTATAGTCTCTAGTTCCTGGTATATACCTTGCTCATGCTTGGCACTCAAAAAATTTTTGAATAAATGAATGGACAAATGAATGGATGGAGAGAATGATAAGTCTTTTATACCAAAGTGATTGAGAAACCCAAGATATCTTTATAAAATTCAGGCTAATCGTACCTAGATTTTGTGACTAGGAGGTAGACAAGCAATTTACTTCCATACCTTTCTCTCTTCCATCCTCATAATCAATCTGTCACCAGGCCTGGATGATTTTATCTTCCAAAGAATTATCTCATGAAATTGTCTACTTCTTTCTATTTTCACCCAGCACCCAAAGCAGTTGTTTCAAACCACCAATCTGACACCCCATTCCTTACGGATAAAGACAAAACTTAAAATTGACTTCCAAGATTTGTCTAGTCCAGCTCTACTTCCGTATGTAACCTTATCATGGCAGATTATATATTTTCAAAGATGACTGCCACGACATGCCCCATCCCACGTGATGTTCTTATAATGTGATGTTTACACTCATTGAATCATACAATGTATGCATCCTTTCCTTGAAACTGGGCCACCTTTGTGCCCAGACTGATCAATAGAGTAATGTCGAAGGAATGCCAGGTCATAAAAATTGTCAATCACTTTCATCTTGTTCTCTGGAGCACACACTCTCAAAACCCAGTCATCAAGGTAAGGGAAAGCTAAGTAGCCATGTGGAGAAACCACATGAATGTGTTCCAGGTGACAGCCCCAGCTGAGCTCTCAGCTGACACCCAATGATGCCTGTTGGATATGCTTGTGATGCTTCCAGCCTCCAACTGTTGAATCATGTCTAAGCCACCCCTGCTCCAGCCACATAGAGCAGTGAAGCTGTTCTTACTGAGCCCTGCCCAAATTGCAGGTTCGTCATCAAAATAAATGTTACTGTCATTTTAAGCCATTAAGCTTCGTGGTGATTTGTTACACTGCACTCGATACTGGATCACTCGTCAGGCACCGTACTCTTCCCCCTTGCTCTCTGTGTTCTATCTACACTGACCTTTCAGATCCTCATGCCTTCCTTTGTCTTCTTTCACACACTGTTTTCTTGCCTGGGGTGCTCTGTCACACTTTTAATTAAATTTATCAGTTAATTCTTACTTATCCTTTAGGTCTCTGCTCAACCATAATTTCCTCAAGAAAAATTCCTGGGCTTTCCAGCCTGGCTCTTAGCCCTTTCCTTCTCTGTCTTCATCACAGTGATAATTTTTAAAATTAGTATAATAATTTGATTATCTCACAATATCTTGACTATGTCACAAAGTAGACTAAAACCTCATGAGGTCAAATCTCTATGCTCCTATCAGTGTAGCCCAGAACATGCTGTATGGTGTGGCACATACTAAATTCTCTGTAAGTACTTGTCCTATTCATAATGGAAATAATTTAATAATCATTCAAAAATATTTATCTAATTCCTAATCTGTCTCATGCAATATTCTAGGTATTACGGATTTTGCTATGAACTAGTAAGACCAGGCCCTAGCCTTTATGGAGCTCACATTCTAGTGGGGCAGAAAGAAAAAATATAGAAATAATTTCAGGTGCTAATACATGCTATGGAGAAAAATAAATCAGAGTAATGGAAAAGAGAAGAAGGATGGGGTAAGTATTCTGATAGGACTGACTTAGCATATGATGTTTAGGAATCTAAGTGAAGATGTAGTTCACAAAAAGGGAAAATAGAGAAAAGAACAAAAAAAAAAATCCCTGAAGTAGGAACAAATTTAACGTTTAAAAACTAAGAGGTAGTGGGCCAGAGTGAGCAGACAGAGAAGGTGAGAGAGGCAGATGAGGTCAGAGAAGTAAGTGATGAGTTCCAGATTCTTGGCAGTTTACAGCATGGGAGACTTTGGATGTCTTTTGCTAAGTTTGATGGGATACTGATGAGTTTTGAATAAGGGAACCTGACGTTATTTATTTAAGTTTTGAAAGGTTTCTGTGTGAGGGGCTGGCCCTGTGGCCTAGTGATTAAGTTTGATGCACTCTGCTTCTGCAGCCTGGGTTCAGTTCCTGGACATGGACCTAGACCACTTGTCAGTGGCCATGCTGTGGCGGTGAACCACATACAAAATAGAGGAAGATTGGCACAGATGTTAACTCAGGACGAATCTTCCTCAGCAAAAAGAATAAATAAAAAAAATCTTGCAGTGGGTAAAATACACTTTGTCAGGTGAAGGAGTGAAAACAAATAAACTGGAGGCTATGACTCTTGTGTAGACCAGAGGTAATGGTGGCCTGTATTGGAAGTTTCCTTAAAAGTGTTGAAAAGTGTGCAGAGGTTGGATCTCTTTAGAAGATGTAACCAACGGAACTTGCTGAATTAACGGATGAGTAATCTATCCCCTTGCGGTTCGACATCTCAACACCACTCCCTTTCCTCCCTCCAGTGCTTTTTCTCCTGTATTCCTCTTCATTCTCACTGTTTCTCATTATTCTGCAGTCCCCTAGAACTCTAGTCAAATATGCGGGTCGCCTGGAGCTTTTTATATGCATCCCGTGCTTAACGGCAAAATTAAAGTCATTGGAGTTGAGAAGGAATCACCATTTGCAGGGGTCTAAGTTCTTTAAATCTCCAATTCCTTTCCATGTTGTAATAAAGGAGAAATCCTCCTTGGGTACTTGTGTTAATATGTATGATTGTATTCTTCCCTTCCACGCATGTGAGATTAAATGCAATCTCTTCCCCCAATACACAAGTGCTATGCAGCTTTACAGGTGAATTAATTGTTCATTTCATTTGATTTTCTTCAAATGAGTTCCAGTTTATTTCTCTTCAATTTGTCTTTGGCAGATTTATTTTAAAAAGTCTTTTCTTTCAATTTCTAAAGTATTTATCCTCTGGGTCTATTCTCTTTCCCGTACGATGGGAGACTAATTATTCTTCTCCTAATGAATGTTCTAAATGTATCCCATATGGTGGCATATGTGTGTTCAGACCAAAGATGCTTTGGGATAAAATAAGTAAATTCCTCTGTGGGGTTTCCTTGCAAACTTCACTTTGTAACAGTGATAAGTTCAAAGATTCATAGACTCTAGGCTCTATAGAGATCATTTTCTTCCCCCCACCTTCCTCATTTTGCAGGAAAGGAACAGAAGTCTAGGAACTACTTACCTGGATTAAGAAAGAGCTGAAGGCTGGGATTCAAGAAAATTGAGCTTTATTCCCAACTCTGCCACTGACATTTTAAAATGTCTTTTATATTACAGTCACTTGATTTCCAGATGAGAAAACTGGTTCAAAGAGAGAAGGGGTATGTTCATTCCTAAGGGGAGTCTTGCCTGGTCCTCCCATCCTAACTCAGGCTTCTTTCCTTCAAAGCAATTCTCTCTGTTTGTAAATAATGTAAATCAAGTAATTACACTAGTGAAAGTCTGAATCCCGTTTGCAATATGAGCTTGATCAGTGTGTTTGTTTTTGTTTACTTATAGACAGTAGGTGCTAAATAAATATTTGTTGAATGAAGTGAATGAATCAATTATGTAATATCATGAAGTACACATTAGATGTACAGCAGCATAGCAAGCATTTTGTCTATGTAAATTAATCTTCACAAGAAGCCAGTAATATTTAAAAATAATAATACCCTTGAGAAACTGAGTCTCAGAAAGTTTAAAAAAATTGGTATCAGTCAGCCAACTTGCAGAATTATAACATGAATATGTATGTCATCTGATTTCAAAATCAAGTTCTTTCTGTAACAAAGCAATAGGTTAACATTCTTTGTTATGTGTCAATCACTGTTGCTGATGGCTTTACATGTTTTCTGTCAGTAGCTTTTTTAAATGAGCCTGTAACTGTAGTTTTGTCCCATCAAGAAATCAAAACTTGAGATTTCTAAGTCTATTTATCAAGGTCAAACAACTAGTAAGTGGGTAAAGATCTGAAACCATGTCTATGTGGCAGGCTCCACATTCCAAACTAGGCTACCATATCCTGATAGATTGAAGAACCACCTTGCCAAAGTAAGTTTTTAATTTATAATTTTGAGAAATAAAAACCTTTTCACAGTTCTCTCAAGTTATTGATTTCTTTAATTAAAAGAGAGAGGCATTTTACTTAATTTTATACCAATGTCACTGGGTACAAAAGCAAAGTAGTATCATATACCATCCCCCAAAATTTTGGAACAAATAAGGTCAAGAAATAAATGACAAATGCTGAACAAATGGTAAAATACCAAGTTCAGTTTGGCTTTGACAGACATTTTGTAATCCTTGAACACCACCACACCACTAGCTGTGGGAGACGCGGAAAGTCAATTATTTTCTAAAGAGCAGCACTAATCATATCTCCGGCCTGCTCAAAACCTAATGAAACCCCCATTTCTTATCAAGTAAGTTCCAAACTCCCTGGAATGGCTTTAAATGCTAGGTTCAAATACTTTTCACGCTCATCTTTTTCCACCCTGCCCTACACGACTTTTTCGGGTACACAACTGATGGGGGTTCCAGAAACATGACGTATCAATGTCTCTTTCCTTGATCATTCCATTTCTGTCTGTCTAGCCTCTCCTTCCTCTCCCCTCCCCAGGCAGCCAGCTCCTCCTACTCAGCCTTGACATACCTGTTCAAACGACTCATATCCTATATGAATAGGTGGCCAGAGAAAATATATGCAATGTTTGCGATTTTGTTGATCCAAAACAATTATCTATTGTTTATCTGAAATTCAAATTTAATTGTGTCCCATAATTTTGTTTGCTAAATCTGGCAATCCTCCCCATAGAAGATCCTTTCCCCCACAAATGTCTTTGTGTTCTCAGAGGCATGTGCACATAAAAATTGGCCAAGTGGTATTTTTTTTTTAAGATTGGCACCTGAGCTAACAACTGTTGCCAATCTTCCTTTTTTTTTAAATTCTTCTCCCCAAAGCCCCCCACTATATAGTTGTATATTCTAGTTGTGGGTGCCTCTGATTGTGCTATGTGGGACACCACCTCAGAGTGGCCTGACGAGGGGTGCTTTGTCCACACCCAAGATCTGAACCGGTCAAACCCCAGGCTGCTGACGTGGATAGTGCAAACTTAACCATTCAGCCACGGGGCTGGCCCACGATAAGTGATATTTTGTTATTTAGTTTATATGGATAGCCTTCTATCATCTTCCATGAGTTATCTAGGAAAGGATTTCTCAGGTTTTGTATTTTTACATGTCTAGTTGTAGGTCAATATTTCTTCATTTCCCTGGAACCATTTACTAATGATACATATGGGTGGACTTTGTAGTGGAGATGGAGGGAAGGAGAAGATGAGATGGGAGATATTAATTCTTATTTCTAAAAGTGCCATAGATTTCCTCTTGTTCAATGCCCACTTTTATGCTCTATAGTTTAATAAAATCATATAACTTTTCCTGCTGTAAATTGCATGATTTCTGGGAGAAAATACAATTAATTTTATTTTTAGGCCTTGAGTTTGATGAGAGTCATTTTAACCATATCATGCAAGTTTTTGTATGGTTGCTGCAGAGTGATTATGTATGTACAATATTTAAATGTGCATAATTATGTAATTTGGGTACCACAGAATTACTATAAAAGGAAAATAAAACATAAGAGATAGGAACATCACTTATGGTCGGCTTACTGTGTGCCAGACACTGCATTTTTATGTTATTTGGCATCGTATCAAAACCACCAGGGCCATATGATAAGCTGTATGTTGTAGATCAAGAACATGAACTTGAGGGGCCGGCCCAGTGGCGCGGTGGTTGAGTTTGCACATCCCGCTTTGGCAGCCAGGGTTCACCGGTTCAGATCCCGGTTGCGGACCTATGCACTGCTTGTCAAGCCATGCTGTGGCAGGCGTCCCACATATAAAGTGGAGAAGGATGGGCACAGATGTTAGGTCAGGGCCAGTCTTCCTCAGCAAGAAGAGGAGGATTGGTGGCAGATGTTAGTTCAGGGTTCATCTTCCTCAAAAAAAAAAGAAAAAGAAAAAAGAAAATGAACTTGAGAGGCTGGTCTGGTGGAGTGGTGGTGAAGTTCATGTGCTCCACTTTGGCAGCCTGAGGTTTGTGGGCTCAGATCTCTGGCACAGACCTACACATTGCTCATCAAGCCATGCTGTGGCTGCATCCAACATACAAAATAGAGGAAGATTGGCAACAGATGTTAGCTCACTGCCAATCTTCCTCACCATGAATCTAAATCTATCTCTACCTGAATGTAAAG